AGAAACATTACAAATGTAAACATTTAAAGGAAAAGAAGAAAAAACTTTGTATCTTTCGCCGCCAGGGCGCCGCCATTGTGCAGGTGACGTCACGGGGTTGGTTGGCTCAAGTTTAACAGGCTCTGGACATTGAAAATCGCCACATCAAACTGTGTTTACACCAGTGTTTTGACCGCGAACGACTAATGTTAGGTACAGATATTAGACAAAAAGACGACGTCTAATGTTATATGTTGACAAACTGCACATAGAAACATTATTCGCGATGTGTGCCGTCAGATATTCCCGTCTCGTCAACAACATGTAAGTTACGTTGCTGTGTAGAACAGTCAGTGGTGGTTTGGGGTGGAGAGCGGGTTTGTAACGCTAACTTACCAGGTGTCAGTGTGGCTGTTGTCCTGCGATGCCCTCCGTGTCAGAGTCCATCTGTTGTCAAGAGGTTGATCTTGAGCATTGCGTGGTCAATTCTGCATCACCGGCGCGCACGTTTACCATGCCGTGCTGTGAGTTAGACGCGTGGAAGCGGCGATGCTTTCCCTGAAGGATGTCAGAGCGGAGACACTTTTTCCTAGTATGTAGGCTGTAGCTACTAGCACTACCACTGCGACAATATGGACGTCGCATTTCCCCTTTAACAAATAACGTTACATGCTAACTTACATGTTGTTGACGAGACGGGAATATCTGACGGCAGACATTGCGAACAATGTTTCTATGTGCAGTTTGTCAACATATAACATGAGATGCCGTCTTTTTGTCTAATAACTGTACCTAACATTAGTCGTTCGCGGTCAAAACACTGGTGTAAACACAGTTTGATGTCGCGATTTTCAATGCCCAGAGCCTGTTAAACTTGTGCCAACCAACCCCGTGACGTCAACTGCACAATGGCGGCGCCCTGGCGGCGAAAGATGCAAAGTTTTTTCCTTTTTTCTTCTAAATGTTTACATTTGTAATGTTTCTTATATAATTGTTGGAAATCCATCTTGTAAATCATGTAAACTTGATTCACTGCTTCATTTCCCCTTTAAAATACAACTCAATAGCCTGTTAGCTTAGCACAACTAGACTGCCCGATTAATATCGAATTAGCCAAATAGTCTGATAACATAGGTACCACTGGTAAACAACTAACAATATAACTATTTTGATTACATAGAAGATGAAATTCATGACCAAAATGTTATTTATCAAATGTGTAATGACCTTATGAGCATCAATAGTCCTCAGTACATGCTGAGCCACGACATTTGCTGCGGCGTAAACAAGTTGAAGACGTGTTAGCAAACAGTTGAGCCATGACGTCGGTTTAGCAAATGTGTTTTGCAAGCCACACAGATTTCCTTCCTACCACCTCCCACTTTCAGAATTAAAGACACTTTAGACTTTCGCTCTCCAGCTGTGATTGAAAGACGTTTCTCTGCCATCATCTGACAGGCCTGAGCTTCCAGCACACAACGCCTTCTGCTGACAGTGCAGTGCTTGTCAACCGCGCACACACTTGTGCGCTAACGCACCGCCAATCAAACACAGCTTTGATCCCATTTTATAATTCAGAAGATGCTTTCCTACTGGAACTTAAACAGAAGTGTTTCCATCACTGTCCCTTGTGGGATTGTGGTAGACAAGGCTTATGCAAGTAATAGTCTGAACTGAATCTAAATTACAGGGGGTGCTATTAAGCTTAAAAAAAAAAACAACATTCTTTAGTGTGAGATGTTGCTGTTTGAATAATATAATTTTTGTATATCAGTGTCACTGTTTCTGAAATTCCTGAAACGACTTAGTTGTAGTCTTGAGTTTTCTTCTTCTACACAAAAATTCATACTTTGCACGTGACGTCACAAGAACAGGCTGGTGGGCAAGAACGTCGTTCTCCAGCAACGAAACCCCGTAAACTAGTCGAGGATCTTGCCAGGACGTCCCCACTTTTTCTACAAAAGTTGGTGTTTTGAGGTGTAAATGACACACCAGATAGTTGTTGTGCAATTGGTTGCACTAACCAGATGAGATAAGCAACCTTCACAGTATATCGTTACACATCTGTGCAGTGATCATTCCATTACTCAAGGTAATTTCAACATTTGTTTGAATACAATGGGTGTATGATCATGTAATTAATCGTGTCTTTAAATTAACCTGTAGTTTCGTCAATCAACGCCACCAGCTGGTTCAGCGTTCACACCGCCGCCGCGAGAGCGGCAAAATTCATTGAAAAATGTATGACTTCTGGGCACTTTGACACTCTCGCCGGTGGCGGTGTAAACACAGCTGTCGTATTTTGCTAACAACAACAACAAAGTGTGATGGGTTGTTTTGAGGTTTGTGATATCTATGGTTTTCAATGAGAAGAGTAGAACTAGATTATTTATGGAGGAATTATTACTGCTCGATTATCTAAAAAAAAAACCTTGTCTGCTTTACACAATTTAACTACCTTCACCTTGGTGTTAATCCTAGTCCATAGTTGTGCAGCTAGCTCGCTAAACAGACTTGATAGCTACTAGAAAGACCCGGGGTGCGTTTCCCATACAACGACGTACTTCGCTGCTTCACTACCATAGTACGATGCATCGTTGGAGAAATCAACTAGCTAGTCGAAACTGTTTGAGATCCAATTAACGCTAGAAATTTTATATATAAATTACGGCCATGCCATCTGAGGGCTATTTCTAATTGCTCTCAGTTGTCTTGCTTTATTATCAGACTCAATATTTGGCTCATTCTTACATAGTAGAGCACGTTCGCACATGCGCACTCTTCGAACAAGGTACTTCAAATCTTTTGACAAACTAAAAGACGTAAATTATGTATTCTATATAAAAGGGACCGGTTGTACTGAATGTCAGCTTGGTTATTTTGCTCAAGATAAAGATTTATTACGTCCAAATGTGATGCGATATAGAAACGATGCCTCTAACCACAGGTCGAGAGCTGTCGTTCAAACCACACAACTTAGCGATGCTGTTTGCGAATGTTCGTTGGAACGTTGGTTTCGGGAAACACCGACTCGTTGAACTATGCTGATAACGACGGAACTTGCGACCATAGTTGGCTAACGATGCTTTCGGGAAACGCACCCCAGGCTGGAGCTACAGGACTCTACGTTGAAAATACCCATTTGTTGCCCGCCATGCATCCATGGTAGTCACGTGAGTGCAAAGTATGAAAAAAGGGGACGAGGCCGGGTTGAGTTAGTTAGAAGTGTGTTGAAATTCGCGGTTATGATGAAAGCGTGACATTTCCAAAACATACTAAAATCGGTTGACCAATCACAACACATTGGTCCAGACGACCAATCATAGCACATTGCACTTTTTGGAAGAAGGGGCTTCATAGTGACCGGAACAAGATCATTGTTAGCCTACTATGGTTGCAAGTTCCATTGTTACCAGCATAGTTCAATGATTAATGATGAATAATTTCAATGAACATTCGCCATCAGCATGGCGATTGAATTAAACATCTGGAGGTAAAGCAAAACAATGGAGAACAAAAATAGCAAAGTAGTTGCAATAGCAGATGCCTTGTTCACTATTTACAGCAATAATCTGACATTAATCTAGAACCGACTGATTAGTATGATGTCATTAACAATTGTTGAACAACCAACGTAGTTCGTACGACGTATGTGCGACAAAGTTTGCTTTCGAGAAACAGACTTGAGTGACTAGCTAGTTAGTTTTTCCAATGATGCATCATACTATGGTGGTTAAGCAGCGAGTCATGCAGTGGAAGCCCAGAGAATTACTGACAGACTGTGAAGAGAGGTGCTGCAACAATGTAAAAAAAAATTAAAAAAAATGTTATTTGAGAATTCAAGTGTGAATCTATGGAAGCTTGTTTCTGCCACAAAATGAAAAAAAAAATAAATAATAATAATTACGAGTTTTTATCTCACAATTCTGACTTTTTTTCCTCACAATTGCGAGTTTACATCTCGGAATTCTGACTTTATTTTTCAGAATTGTGAGATGTAAAGTCAGAATTGCATGATATAAAGTTGCAATTGCGTGTTATAAAGTAAGAATTGCGAGATATGAAGTAAGAATTGCTATATATACTGTAAAGTTGCAATTGCGTGTTATAAAGTCAGAATTACGAGATATAAAGTCAGAATTGCGTGCTATAAAGTTGCAATTGTGTATTATAAAGTCAGAATTGCGAGATATAAAGTCAGAATTGTGAGATTTAAACTATTCTGAGGGTGAAAAAAGTTCTTTTTTACCCCTTAAAATTAGCCTGATGACTCGCAATTGCGGGTCTATATCTCACAATTCTGAAAAAAGATATCAGAATTTCGACATATAAACTCGCAATTATGTTATAAAGTCAGAATTGTGAGATAAAAAGTCGCACTTCTGTCTTTTTTTCTCAGAATTTCGACTTTATATCACGCAATTCTGACTTTATATCTCGCAGTTCTGACTTTATAATGCACAATTGCAACTTTATATATCGCAATTGCGACTTTATTTCTCACAATTCTGACTTCATATCTCGCAATTGTGAGATAAAAAGTCGCAATTATTTTTACAATTTTTTTTTTATTCAGTGGCGGAAATAAGCTTCCATATGAAACCTATTCTAGTAGAGCTCAAAAACAAAATCAAGACTTAGTAAAAGGGCAGTTTTTGGTTAGCATAGCACATTTAGCACCTGCTGGCAGATGATGTAACTACAACATATTATAATTTGTTCTCTTGAACACACGGGATGGAAGCGCAGCTTTATTTGCAAATCTTTTATGCGGTATGCCAATTTTGCACATCGGTTAAATTCGCAACTTTGAATGGTGACGGCGCCATGGCTCCAATGTGATTATTCCAACCTGTGTTTGGAACTGAGTGACCATGAGCAAATAAATCAACCTAAAAATTGGATTACTTTTAGTTGTCTCAGCTTAATAATAAGTGGGAACAATTTTAACAAAGTTAATTCAAGCAAGCACATTCAAGACTAATATACTAATAATACTACTACTAAAAATAATAATAAAGTAATAAAAAATAACCAAATGGTTTTATTTCATGTTGGTACATTCTTGGACAACACCACAGTATAGTTGCATGAGTGGCCAAACATAAAAGTCTTCCACAATATCAGCACATAAGCAGCAAGGGCAACATGAATACTTAGTACAAACAGTATAAAACATACATGCTTTTTATTTTTTTTCATATATTTTTTTTAAATATATATTGATATCTTTTGCACAATTTTTCTCCATAAGTTCTGGGGCAGTTAAAAATTCCAAGACAAATTAAAGCCATATTCTGCCTTGAGTGAGTGAATGTCTGAGAAATTCATGAGATAGTACTTAAGGAAAAAAAGAGAGAAATCAATAAAGGCTTTAAAATTATCTGTAAACAGGCCAGTGTGAGAAAACTGTGGTGAGTTTTTCATTTACTTCAACATCAAACATATCAAGCATGCATTGACAACTGCTACGTGAACACTTTCTTTAAAAAAGAATTCCATGAAACACCATCGGTCACCAGGGTTTAGTTACTGTAAAACCAATGCAACATCTCTCAAAGTCACTAACAACACAGTCGATGGTCTACGAACCCTTACAAACATGGTGGGAATGTAGAAAAATGTGAGGCATACGGTCACATTGATCATGTTAAAGGGGGAAATCGAATGGTATCCCTCAAAATAAAGACCGTAAAACAGAAAATATTCCCAAAAAAATGAGATCTCATAGAGAAGAATATGGCTTTAATACAATGTGCATCCAGAAAGGCAAAACGTAAAAATCCCGACAGCGAAGGAAAACGGAAATGCTGAAAGAACCACACAAATTTGCACGGAAAAATCCCAAAAAAACTTGCAGTTTGGAAGTACATGTAAAGATGAGGAGGACCTCTCGGCCCAGCATTCCAAAGCCATGTCGATTCATCAGCGCCCTGAAGAAAGTCTGTGATGGATCATCAGAACAAACGCCTTGTCGAAGGTCCATCACGGCAAGTGCAACCTCAATCGTTGACTGACAGGAGGTCAGTCGTGTTGTGCCACTGTTACACCTCCATCAGAAGAAAACAAAAAACAACTAAAATGTATATTTCCTCCGGTTGTACAATCCGTTGATTTCTGCTACTGTGTTTTTTTCTTTTTTTTTGCAGATGTCAATTTATTTTTGTGATTTTTTTTTCTTTTTTTGGGTGGGGGGTGAGGGGTGGTTTTGCCTTTTTATTTTACTTAAAGGTGTCGAAAATCAACTGAGATCCTCTGTCGTTGGTTTAGCTGAGGGCCCAGTCACTGTCCTGGCCCTCGGACAAAAGAAGGATGGAAAGGGAGGTACACCGAAAGCCTTTTTCCCGCTTTACTTTTGTGCCAAAGAGCCGAGAGAACCCAGGAACTGCCATCGATCACCTTCCCCCTGTGATGGAGGCCCTCAGATCACAAGGTCATTGTAACTCACGTATTTCTTCTTAGCGGCAGGACCTGAGAGGAGAGAAAGATGAAAGATTGCTTTTCATTTGATATTTCTTCCATTTTTTCTTCACTAAAAATGAGATGAATTCATTGATTCTTGTCAGGAGGCCTGACAGGGACAACGTTTAGGTATGGAACAAAAAAAGTCTAGTAACTGACTCTTAAAGACAATGCAGTTGCTAGAGTGTTCTGTGTTTGCTTGAAAGTTTTGAATGGGTTATTTGATGTTTTGGGTGGTTGCTAGGGTCTTCTGGCTGGGTAGCTGTTTTGATAGATTGCTTTTTGGTTGCTAAGGTTCACTGAGTGGTTGCAAGGGGCTTTTGGTGCTTAGGTGTTTGCTAAAGATTTTTGAGAAGTTACTAGGAGGTTGCTACTTTAGAGTGTTCTTGGTAGTGGTGGGGGGTTTTGATAGGTTGCTAAGTGGCTGCTACTGTGTTCTGATTGATTGTTAGAGTGTTCTGTGTAGTTGTATGGTGTTTTGAGAGGTTGCTAGGTGGCCGTTACTGTGATCTGATTGATTGTTAGGGTTTTCTGTCTAGTTGTATGGTGTTTTGAGATGTTTCTAGTTGGTTGTTAGGGTGTTATGAGTAGTGGTGGGATGTTTAGAGATGTTGCTATGTGGTTGCTACTGTGTTCTGATTGTTTTTTAGAGTGTTCTGTGAAGTTGTATGGTGTTTTGAGAGGTTGCTAGGGTGGTCGCTACTGTGTTGTAATTGGTTGTTAGGGTGTTCTGGGAAGTTGTGGAGTGTTTGATAGTTTGCTAGGTGATTGCTACTATGTTCTGAGTGGTTGTTAGGGTGTTCTGTGTAGTTTGTTTGGTGTTTTGAGAGGTTGCTAGGTGGTTGCTACTGTGTTCTGAGTGGTTGTTAGAGTGTTCTCTGTAGTTGTATGGTGTTTTGAGAAGTTGTTTGGTCGCTACTGTGTTCTAATTGGTTGTTAGTGTGTTCTGGGAAGCTGTGGAGTGTTTGAGAGGTTGCTAGGTGGTTGCTACTGTGTTCTAATTGGTTGTTAGGGTGTTCTGGGAAGTTGTGGAGGGTTTGATAGGTTGCTAGATGATTGCTACTGTGTTCTGAGAAGTTGTGGAGTGTTTTGAGAGGTTGTTAGGTGGTTGCTACTGTGTTCTGATTGATTGCTAGAGTGTTCTGTGTCGTTGTATGGTGTTTTGAGAGGTTGCTAGGTTGTTGCTACTGTATTCTGAGTGGTTGTTAGGTTGTTCTATGTAGTTGAATGGTGTTTTGCGAAGTTGCTATGTGGTTGGTACTGTGTTCTGATTGATTGTTATGGTTTTCTGGGTAGTTGTATGGTGTTTTGAGATGTTTCCAGTTGGTTGTTACTGTGTTCTGATTGGTTGTTAGGGTGTTCTGAGAAGTTGTGGACTGTATTGAGAGGTTGTTAGGTGGTTGCTACTGTGTTCTGAGTGGTTGTTAGGGTGTACTGAGAGTTTACTAGGCAGTTGCAACGGTATTTCTGGGTGGTTGCTAAACTGGTTTGAGAGGTTGCTAGGATATTGAGTAGTTGCTTGGGTGTTCTAGGGAGTGGTTGGTGGGTGGTATTAGGGCATTCTGAGAGGTTTACTAAGGGTTCTGGGAATCTAGGGCGATGCTACTTAATACTTAAAAAGTTACAGTAAGGGGATCTGATGAATTTCTAACCCTCAGTGCGAACTCACATAAATGTAAATAACTGTGTTCATTATATGATTAAAGAGCAACTTAAAATTAAAAAGCAGATGAATATCGCATAAGTCTTATGTAAGAATCTCTCAAATGTCTTCAGTCATAACAGCGTGACCTTCACAAGCTGCCGCTGATGTGTTTGCAGAGACTCAGTGTAACGAAATGACTCCAGTCTTAAATTACAGCGCTTATCCACGGATGCTTGTTGTGCTCTTTTGCATGCAAATGAACCTCTAAATATTTAAAAGTAAAGGTTACCAAGTAGAGAGATCATTGTGGCCTTTAAGTGTCAGTAGCCCCTTTAGTATTTGAGTTAAATGTCACTCTGAGTGCCATCTATTCAAAAATGTGGACTTGATAAATGTGGATTGAGGAAAGTTCGCTTAATATGCAAAAACATATAAATAATATAATAGGTCCTATTAAATAGGAGCTCAGATAAGAGTGACCTAATTTACACAGACAAACACTAAACATGAAAAAATACACATATATGTTTGGATTATTTGCCTCTTATATTTGACAATTACTTTTGAGAGTGATGGACATTGTAGGGATATAGATAGAACATGGGACCAAGTTGACTGAATGTTGTATTTCCTTGTAAAATAAACTAAATGTGATGTGACCCTCTTTTAAAGACCATTTGACCCACCAGCTGTGATGCCTCTAGTCATTACATCTCCCCTGACCATCTGCATTACAGCCTTATCAATTAAGGGGCTGTTTACAGGACACTTTTCAACTAAAAACGTAAAACTTTTTATGTGGTCTTTTGAACCACATTTTATGTGGTTTATCTATTTTTTTAACGTTCGTTTACTCGACAACGGCGTTTCGGACTGACGTCTTGGGACGTCTTTTGACCATACGTCAACATCCGCCTTTTGAGCGTACCCTTAAACGTCGGTTAGATGACGTTATCGGATCCTAACCCTACCCCAGACCTAAACCTACCCCGTCACCTAACCGACGTTAAAGGTAAAGCGTCAGTTGTATGACGGCCCGGGATCGTCATGTAACCGACGTTTAAGGGTACCCTAAAAAGGCGGATGTTGACGTATGGTCAAAAGACGTTCCGAGACGTCGGTTATATGACTTCTTGGGATGAGACTGTGTTATTTCGGGAGCCTGAAAATGCAACCGTTGCAAAAGTGCACGTTTTTGAAAACGGTCTCCATGTAAACAACAAAAACGCAAATCTTTGAAGACTATGACCTCATACACATGCGCATTACGAGTTCATTCTAGAGCGTTTCATCGCCATCTAATGGCCTGGAGCAGAATACAGCATTTTTAGTCGTTTTTGTGGATCCGTATGAATGAGGATCGTTTTGATAATGGTGTCGTCTGTACGCAGAAAACTCGAAGGAAAAAACATAATGCAAATATTCAGTACAAATAGTGGTACGAACACTAGCGTTAACACTAGCGTAATAGTTGCATAATGCGACAACTGACCAACAGTGATTTTACTAGGGCTGGGCAACGATTAATCGCAACTAATCGTTATTAATCGCATCCGAAATCGCGATTAATCGTTTCCCAGCCCTAGATTTTACAAATGATAGCATAACAATTATGTTGCATAATGTAATAATTATGTAAGAATGATTTTAAACACGAAAATTACGCACAAATTGTTGTTTGAACGACAGTTGCATAATGTGACAACTGCATAAAAGTGACTACAAATATTAGCATAACAATTACGTTGCATACTGTAATAATTATGTAAGAATGCTTTTAAACATAATTCACGTACTGCAGAAATTACGTGCAATGGTTTTATTAACAATAGCGTTACAAATGTCACATAATGTGACAATTGTGTAACTGGTTTCACGAACTATAGCATGACAGGTACATTGTGTAATGCAAGACTTTGTATAATACAACTGCTTGAGAGCAGCTCTACAAATGAGTGTTACAAATATGCTACATAATGCAATATTTATGCAAGAATGGTTTAAAACAAAACATCACATAATGTGAAAATTATGTACAATCGGTTATTACGAAAAATAACTATTATGTCCCATAATGCACTACGTGAGAGTGGCTTTACAAACTGTAACGTGACAAATTTAGTAACTATAACACGGCAGTTACATTGATTAATGCAACGACTACCGTTCGTACGTAAGAAAGATACCATTAAAAGTCTGTTGCATGTTGCAATAATTGTGAAAGAGTGTTTTTACAACATAATGAACAATTTCCAAAGAAATTCTTTCTACCAATGAGGCTCATTGAAATGAACAAATTTAGGTGTCTGAGCTCTTTGCACAGGGTTCTCTTTACAACGGAAGAAAAATTTTATAGTGTTCATTTATATTATTTTATTAGGATGAGATTATAATATGGGCCATTAATATCGGTAATACAGCACACACTCTCTCTCTTTATGCAAGGGTAAGGATCATTAAGATATTGAATGTTCTGTTGAAAGCTCACAAACGGTTGAGTTTTGTCTTTGCGTCAATGTGAAAATGAATAAATAAAATATGAATCATCACTGTTGTCAGAGCAATTCTAAACATCGCTTCTGATGCAAACCGTTTACAGTTGCATAAAATTCAGCCGTCAAAACTTGTCTTGCGTTCTTGCCGTGAAGTCCAGCGCTAGTTCAGTCTCAGTGATGAAACTCACATATCAACTCGACTCGAATTTGCATGTGCCACCAAAATTGTTGGGAATGAGGGCATTCCGATTACGGCATTCCGCACTTGGCATTGCCATCTCGGCTCAATGGTTTTAGGGTCTATTCCCTTGGGTGTCAGATATCTCAGGGTTGAGAACATTCATATACATACATCTCCATAAAAATAATTTAGAGAGTCAGAGTGTGTTATATGGCAGAAGAAGGAGAGAGAAAGAACAGTGAGTGCACAGGGAAGGCCGACACAGATGGTTCACGGCTCTTTTGGGACCCGCGATGGAGTCTGCTATGCCATCATGGTGGCGTTAGGGGAATTGAGCAGTGGGACTTGCGTTTGAAGCTTGGGATCTTCCATGTGTCATCTGATTACCTCTGACAGTTGAGTTCACCGTTTCATAACTATGTTTAGCTTTTGATTAGACACTCTTCTTGGAAACATTAAATATGTAAAATGCTTGCTGCATGTAGATGAGAAAAATTCATGTGGTTTTGTAAATAATGTCTCCATTCAAAATTAGTTTTTCCTAGACTGCAATGAGACAGCTAAGGTTGAAAGTCTATGAGAACTATTAAGTCTCCTATGAGCTAAATGAACAACATTTGATAAATATCCCCCCCCCCCTCCTATTGTGACATACATCTGACTTCAAGGAATTATCAAAAAAGAAAAAAAATGCAAGACGGGAACTTGATTTTATGCATCGGTTGAGTATTATTAAGATGTAGTAGGCTTGACACTCAAAGGATGAGGCAGATGAATGTGAGCTTGCAGGGGAAAAGTTCAAAAGGTTGGGGCCCTACTTTTTTTTCTTGTTCGAGAAGCCGTTTCACTAAATAATACATCACAACAGGGAAGAAAAGGCCATTGCAAATTTCATTTCATGCTGAGTTTAAGGTCTTGGCACCTTTTAGTAGTGTTGCAGTCCTCAAGACCTGTAACTTGGTCTTGGTCTTTTCTTGGTCTCAACACACACTGGTCTTGGTCTTGTTTTGGTCTCAACACACACTGGTCTTGGTCTTGTTTTGGTCTCAACACACACACTGGTCTTGGTCTCAACCCCTCAAAGTATTGATTTTGTCTTGGTCTCAACACACACTGGTCTTGTCCATGTCTTGGTTTCAACACACACTGGTCTTGGTCTTGTCTTGGTCTCAATCCCTCAAAGTCTTGGTCTTGATCTCTACACATACTAATCTTTGTCTTGTCTTTATATCAACCCCTCAAAGTCTTGGTCTTGTTTTGGTCTCAACACACGCACTGGTCTTGGTCTTATCTTGGTCTCAACACACACTGTCCTTGGTCTCAACCCCTCAGAGTCTTGAACTTGTCTTGGTCTCAACACACACTGGTCTTGTCCTTGTCTTGGTTTCAACCTCTCAAAGTCTTGGTCTTGATCTCTACACATACTGATCTTTGTCTTGTCTTTGCATCAACCCCTCAAAGTCTTGGTCTTGTTTTGGTCTCAACACACACACTGGTCTTGGTCTCAACCCCTCAAAGTCTTGATCTTGTTTTGGTCTCAACACACACACTGGTCTTGGTTTTATCTTGGTCTAAATACACACTGTTCTTGGTGTCAACCCCTCAAAGTCTTGGTCTTGTCTTGGTCTCAACACACACTGGTCTTGTCCTTGTCTTGGTTTCAACACACACTGGTCTTGGTTTTGTCTTGGTCTCAACCCCCCAAAGTCTTGGTCTTGATCTCTACACATACTGATCTTTGCCTTGTCTTTGTATCAACCCCTCAAAGTCTTGGTCTTGTTTTGATCTCAACACACACACTGGTCTTGGTCTTATCTTGGTCTAAATACACACTGTTCTTGGTCTAGACCCCTCAAAGTCTTGGTCTTGTCTTGGTCTCAACACACACTAGTCCTGTCCTTGTCTTGGTCTTGTCCTTGTCTTGGTTTCAACACACACTGGTTTTGGTCTTGTCTTGGTCTCAACCCCTCAAAGTCTTAGTCTTGTCTTGTTCTTAAACCCCGCAAAGTCCTGCTCTTCTCTTGGTCTCACACCCTTTAAAGTCTTGGTTTTGGCTTGGCCTCAACACACAGTGGTCTAAGTCTTTTCTTGGTCTCAACTCCTCAAAGTCTTGCTCTTGTCTTGGTCTTAAAACCATCAAAGTCTTGGTCTTGTCTTGGTCTCAACACACACTGGTCTTGGTCTTGTCTTGGTCTTAAACCCCTCAAAGTATTGGTCTTGATCTCAAAACACGTCTTAGTCTCATCTTGGTCTCAGCTTAGGTGGTCTCGACTACCCTTCAAATTGTGTAGGGCATATTGACACTGAATTTTGAATTAATTTAAATGTTGATGTCTTACGTTACATGGCACAATAGCTAGGTAATTTTCATTATCTAGCTCTACTGAGAGACAATGTGGGATTTTCATCACAAGTTGTGAAACTTGTGATTAATGTCCACAAAAAAAAAAAAAAAAAAAAAAAAAAAAACCGTTTATCATTTTCATATCGTCCTTTCGCCCAGACTTCAAAAAGCGAGCAAGGTCATAACCAAAGGTAGAAGATTAATTTGGTCTTACCTGATAAATTATGAGAATTAGCCTGTTGGGGAAAAAACAGTACTTGGTGAGCTGTTTCTGATTGGTCCAATAGAAGCAAAGCAGAGATTCTGATTGGTCCAAACAGTCATGAAATTTAAAATGGCACTTTAATTTCAAGCTAGGTTAGTGTGTTTTAGCATAGATATAAGTGCTAAGGTGATGGGGAGATTTCTGACTTTGGATATGCCATTTCTCACAACTAAGAATGGCATATCTAATTATACGAGGAAAGCATTGCCACCGTCAGAAAAAAACCTTGATACAGTCATTTTTGAAATTGCCATAATATATTTTTCTCTTTATGTGCTGTAGATATTTGAGAATCCCAAAAGCAGCTCAACGACCTGCAATTCCAGTCAGAGCCGAATAAACAAAACAAAAAGTACTTTTTATCTTTTGGAATTCCATTTCTTTTTCAAAGACCCATGGCTTTCCTTTGACAGTGACGACATGCTAATCCTCTGGGCTCCTGCGCTATTACTCTCTCTCTGCGGTGTGCAGCCCACCATCTTGTGCTCATTAGAGGAAATGTGGTCATTCTCAGCAGACGACTTCATTCCATTATATCTGACATGAGCTCATGCTGCAACATCAACAGACTAAAGCAACAGAATTTCAGCCCATGGTGACATTCTGCAATGAATCTTGCAAGCGCTGCACCCTGGGACATGAGCTCGCCATTACACCCAACTTTTGGGAAAGCAACTCTAAGGGTGAGGCTTGGGGATAATGGTTACACATTTTTAAGTAGTTTTAATAAAAGATAACTACTAATTTATTAGATCTTTACATAAGGACCACACCTGGACAGCAAATACCAGGAATAAATTAACTCTTATAAAACAACATAAAACATTCATTAAAGGGTTAGTTCACGCCCCCCAAAAAATCAATTACTCTCCCTCATGTCATTCTGTTTAGCCTCTGTGCATGTTCGCTGATCAAAAGAATAAAAGCCTAAATTAAATCTGTCCATCATATACAGCGATCAAGTCTTCAGAAAATTTGAACTAAACCACTCAATTAATATGGATTAGTTTTACAATCTCTTTACTAACTTTTTGAAGCGTCAAATTGGTAGTTGCATAGCTGTCAATGGAGGGACAGAAATCTCTCAGAAGAGGAAGGCTCACGGGTTTGGAATGACATGAGGGTGAGTAAATGATGAAATAATTTTCATTTTTAGGTGAACTAACCTTTAATAGCTTACTTTAATTTATAACTTTTACAAATATCATTATATTATGATGCTTAGCAGATAATTTGTGCCTTATTCTTAAATATATATATATATATATATATATATATATATATATGAAGAGTTCAGATGCAAAAGCCTCTAAGTGCCATTTGAAATTTTCTTCTAGAATGCTAATTTTTATCAAGCTTGTATATTTAAGTTCAGTGATTTCACTTAAATGGCAATGATAATTACCTATTAATTGTTATTTAAGTGAAATTAGTGAACTTAAATATACAAGTTTGATAAAAATCATCATTAAAGAAGAAAATTTCAAATGGCATTTAGAGGCTTTTGCATCTGAACTCTTCATATATATATATATTAATTATCCTCTGAATCTGTAAACGATTGGTTTAGACTTTAAAAGTAAACTTTAAAACTTTAGAGTTCTGTTGATGGCTTATTATAAATGAGTAGTATTTAAATGAGGTTGCATTAAATTGGTCATCACTTCAGCCATTTTGAAACAGTGCCATGATAAGTGCAAAAAGCCAGAAAACATGCATAATAATGTGAAAAAATCACATTATTTAGTTTTGATAACTTACATCTGCTCATGTCGAAATCAATCTCGAAAACCAAAACTAAAACTAAATTATTTCAATGATTATAATGCTAAATCATTCTTTCAGAGTCCACCAGATTTAGTATAAAGACATTTGAATTCATCATGAGCAAATGTACATTATCAACTTCCCCAACGTCCGGCGAATTAAAAGTTTTGTTACTTACTGTTGGGATCCACATTTTCACACAGTTCGGTTTTGGCCTCGCCGTTTGGCCGGTCGCTGGGTTTGTGCGATAGACGCGAGGACATGGTGGCCGCCGTCACCACGGCCTTGAAGCTCCGCTTCCGCTTCTGCACGTTGAGCTCCGGGTGGAAGATGATGACGTAGACCTTGGGCATGTAGAGCATTCCCAGAGCCACGGACGCGCTCAGATTCATGGAGATGGTCAGCGTGGTGGTCTGGATGTAGAGCTTTAAAAAAAAAAAGAAAAAAAGAAAAAAAGTTTTAAATTGGCTTATAACACCAAAGGAATTCTCCAAAGAGGCATAACAAATGAAAAACAGCTTCATAAAGATCTTCAGAAAGAGCTATAAACGTATAATGTTAGTAGTACATGAATTATGTAGTCCATTGGGTATTTCTGCAAACTTCGTTATGGGATTCAAGTTGAAATGAAGAATAAAGTAAAATGTGAGGTCAGTACAAAAAGACTCTCAATGTTGATGTCCTGGTGGGAGAATTCAAAGTGAAATGAATGATAATAGTCCTTAAAAACTCGAGTGGCTGTCATTGCCTGAGAGCACAGCTCTTGCACGGATGTACTTTTCTTGTATGGAAAAAAGGGAGCTTGTCAAAGTATTATAATGAAGGCTTTCATGCCGCAACCATATCACATTAGAACTACGGCAAAAATTAATTTCATGTGGCAGTTAACGGCACTCTGGCAAGTATGTAATTACCGATTTCCTCAGTGTGTTTAATCTTTAATGTAGTGCGAGTTCAAAGCCTGTTAGGAAGGTCACGGGTGCGTTTCAATTAAGGCAACAGGACCCAGTCATGAATGAATTGTGAAAATCATTCTTTTTTTTTTTTTTTTTTGCGCAAATTGTCACTGAAATTTGTTCTGCTCGTCTTTCGTGAATGAGGCCCAGGATTTCGACTGCATTTCTACTACAAACATATCGATCGGCTAATAAAGCTACTCAAGAAAACTAATTGGCATCAGTGAGTGAGTGAGTAAGAGAGAATCAGTGAGAGAGTGAGTGAGTGAGTGAGAATCAGTAAGTGAGTGAGTGAGTGAGAGAGAATCAGTGAGTGAGTGAGAGAGAGAGTGAAAAAGAATCAGTGAGTGAGTAAATGAGTGAGTGAGATATAATCAGTGAGTGAGTGAGAGAGAATAGGTTAGTGAGTGAGTGAGTGAGTGAGTGAGAATAGGTGAGTGAGTGAGAATCAGTGAGTGAGAGAGAATCAGTAAGTGAGTGAGTGAGAGAGTGAAAGAGAATCAGTGAGTGAGTAAATGAGTGAGTGAGTGAGATATAATCAGTGAGTGAGTAAGTGAGAGATATTTGGTGAGTGAGTAAATGAGTGAGTGAGATATAATCAGTGAGTGAGTATATGAGTGAATGAGTGAGAATAGGCGAGTGAGTGAGTGAGTGAGTATCAGTGAGTGAGTGAGTGAGAGAGAGCGAATCAGTGAGTGAGAGAGAATCAGTGAGTGAGTGAGAGAATTAGTGAGTGAATGAATGAGTATCAGTGAGTGAGTGAGTGAGTGAGTGAGAGAGAATCAGTGAGAGAATCAGTGATTGAGAATCAGTGAGTGAGTGAGTGAGAGAGAATCAGTGAGTGAGAATCAGTGAGTGAGTGAGTGAGAGAGAATCATCGAGTGAGTGAGTGAGTGAGTGAGAGAATTAGTGAGTGAGTGAGTGAGTGAGTGAGTGAGAGAGTATCAGTTAGTGAGTGAGTGAGAATCAGTGAGTGAGTGAGAGAGAATCAGTGAGTGAGAATCAGTGAGTGTGTAAATGAGTGAGTGAGTGAGAGAGAGAGAGAGAGAGAGAGAAGCAGTGAGTGAGTGAGAGAGAATCAGTGAGTGAGTAAATGAGTGAGTGAGTGAGTAAATGAGTGAGTGAGTGAGAGAGAATAGGTGAGTGAGTGAGTGAGAGAGAATCAATGAGTGAGTCAGTGAGAGAGAATCAGTGAGTGAGAATCAGTGAGTGAGTAAATGAGTGAGTGAGTGAGAGAGAGAGAGAGAGAGAAACAGTGAGTGAGTGAGTGAGTGAGAGAGAGAGAATCAGCGAGTGAGTGAATAGATTGGATGAATATATAAATAAATAATTGTTACACCTTTCAACATATAATTCATATTTTTATAATTAATTTTCATATTTCAAGATTGAAAGTAGTAAAAAGTAAACATTTACAAGTGGCACAGAAATAAAGCCAGTGTAAAAAAAAAAAAAAAAAAAAAAAAAATCCACCCTTGGTATAAAAGTGCTGAAAAAATCTGAAGAAACACCCTCTAATAATCAAAATCAAGCACAGTTTGTTTTGTTTTAGACTGCATTTAAGAGTTGCTTTATCTGTAATCAATCATCTCACAACAATGCATCACTGGAAAAATGTCCGTAGACTGATCAGAATTTCAGGGCCTATATTTGACTTGTACCTTTTTCCATTTTTAGCACATTATGAGAGCAACGATCACACAGCCGAACAGCCGAGAAAACTAAATTCCCGTAGGCTATTAAATCACACAACCTTAAACATTTCCAAAAGAAAAAGTGTGAAAACCTCTAAGGGTGTCACATTAATTTGCCAAATCCAAAGTGCAAATGCAGTGAACTGACACGTCTCTTTCTGAGACGGAGACCGACTCATTCTACAGCTTTTCATTGGCCGCTGAGATGTGTGATGCTGACCCTGGGATAGATGAGAGAATCCAACATGCTTGACATAACAAAAAACATATTCACTTCACAAGCGATGAAAAATACTTCTGTTGCTTTCATTCAACATTCTGTCACTTTTAAAACAACACAACTGGAATCACTTTCTTCAAAACCCAAATGCACATTTAATGTAATGTACTGCTAAAGTTGCTAATGTATGTTTTAAAATACATTTAATGTATGTTTTAAAATACATTTAGATAAATATAATGACATATTTTTTTAAAAAATATCCTATATATATATATATATATATATTTCTAAAAACAAGTTGCACTTTACTATATTGTTACAGGCCAAAATTGCATTGTTGAAATAATAAAAAAACAGATAAGACGCATTATGTATGTCGCATGTCTCTTATTAACATGTTATTACATATATACACATATAAACTCATTGTCACTCCACAACAAATGCTTTAGATTTAACAGTATTCAGAAAAATATAAGTATAAAACAAACATAAATTATATTGAAAAATATTTATCAAAATCAAGTCAAAAAACAACATCAACCTAAAACTGAAATTAAAATTAGAAAAATATATATATATATCATATTTAAAAAAACGTAAGACAAAATATAACATAACAAAAAAAGACATATTTAAAAAAAATTTAAAAAGACAAAAACACAGAATAAAAAATAATAATAACTGAAATTAAAATGGAAACAGAAAATACAAAATTAAATCTAATTCAAAATATGAATAAAAAACTTTAGAAGTATCTTAATTATATAAATGAAACAAATTCAATAAATCTATTAATTAAAACAAAAAACAAAACAAGCACTAAATAAATCCAAATTACGAAGAAAATGATCTTGTTTTTCAGTTACCTCAAAGTCCTGTGAGGAATCTAATCACATCTTGTGGTTTATTTATTTATTTTTTTAAATATGCTTCTAATTTATTTTGACCTTCACTGAACACCGTAACTAAAGCTAAATGTCTCGTTTCACTGTCTGGTGCGCCTTCATTATGGAGTTTGACCTCTTTTGGCGATTTTGTAAAATGGAACCAAATGACGTAAAAATGAAATATCAATGAGGACAGTCTGATCATGAACTTCTGCATCAGGTTTCTTAATTAGTTAAATAATATTATAAAAATATATTTCACATATTGAATGGGTTTCGTGATGCGCACAGCCAATAACCTTGTGTAATGCGCACGCGTGCACACACACATACACACACCCCACTGGCTGCTGCTTAGCACTGATCAGCGTTAATTACTGAGCTATAAGTCTGAACACTCGCTCTCATCTGAAACGTTTGGATGTGAAGGATGATATGGCGAAGAGGGAGAGTTTTATGAATGTGATTTGGGCTAATAATGGATCAGTCAGAACTGGAGCAGCCTGGAAATAAACAGCTCGATATATGGGGAATGCCGATTCTACAGAGAAGAGTTTAAAAAACATTGCAGAGAGATTGAAAATCAAAAAAACAAGAAGTGGCCTTAAACAGCCATACTACAGATTCAAGGCTGGGCTGTATGACAATATATATATATATATATATATATACACTCACCGGCCACTTTATTAGGTATACCTGTCCAACTGCTCGTTAACACTTAATTTCTAAGCAGCCAATCACATGCGGCAACTCAGTGCATTTAGGCATGTAGACATGGTCAAGACAATCTCCTGCAGTTCAAACCGAGCATCAGTATGGGGAAGAAAGGTGATTTGAGTGACTTTGAACGTGGCATGATTGTTGGTGCCAGAAGGGCTGGTCTGAGTATTTCAAAAACTGCTAATCTACTGGGATTTTCACGCACAACCATCTCTAGGGTTTACAGAGAATGGTCCGAAAAAGAAAAAACATCCAGTGAGCGGCAGTTCTGTGGGCGGAAATGCCTTGTTGATGCCAGAGGTCAGAGGAGAAGACTGGTTCGAGCTGATAGAAGGGCAACAGTGACTCAAATAACCACCCGTTACAACCAAGGTGGGCAGAAGAGCATCTCTGAACGCACAGTACGTCGAACTTTGAGGCAGATGGGCTACAGCAGCAGAAGACCACACCGGGTGCCACTCCTTTCAGCTAAGAACAGGAAACTGAGGCTACAATTTGCACAAGCTCATCGAAATTGGACAATAGAAGATTGGAAAAACGTTGCCTGGTCTGATGAGTCTCAATTTCTGCTGCGACATTCGGATGGTAGGGTCAGAATTTGGCGTCTACAACATGAAAGCATGGATCCATCCTGCCTTGTATCAACGGTTCAGGCTGGTGGTGGTGGTGTCATGGTGTGGGGAATATTTTCTTGGCACTCTTTGGGCCCCTTGGTACCAATTGAGCATCGTTGCAACGCCACAGCCTACCTGAGTATTGTTGCTGACCATGTCCATCCCTTTGTGACCACAATGTACCCAACTTCTGATGGCTACTTTCAGCAGGATAATGCGCCATGTCATAAAGCTGGAATCATCTCAGACTGGTTTCTTGAACATGACAATGAGTTCGCTGTACTCAAATGGCCTCCACAGTCACCAGATCTCAATCCAATAGAGC